AGAGCGTGAAGTCAGTCCCGTCAGAACTGAACCCGTGTCTGGTGCCTTCAGGTAAACAACATCCTGCAGCGGTTCCACGACGACCGGGGTCATTACGGCCAGGGCATCTGCCAGAGAGAGATCACCAAGAACTTCTACTGGAGCACCATGACCCGGGACCTGGCCGCCTGGATCTCCAGCTGCAGCACCTGCGTCAACAGAACCAAGAGGAGGTGGCTGCGCTGCAGCATCCACACCTGCCACAACTGCTGTGGACCAGTGGAGAGGCGCCTGGGCCTTACCTTCCACACGTATGCTAATACAGTCCCAGTTTGTACTTCTGAGGAAATGTCTAATATTTAAAAGACATTTTCTTCCCCACCAACTCCTGACCCTGTTGCCCAGGTTTCCTCTTCATAACACCACCCTCCTGGACCAGTGGTTGAAGGCCGTCGGACGTCCTCACTGGTATCCTCGCCTCTGGTCATCCATTTGTTCCAAACACTTCACCGAGGACTGTTTTGAGCAGGTTGATAACAAGGTCAGCCTTCGTCCAGACGCTGTTCCCACACTGTTGATCCACAGCAGCCCAGCAGTGACAGGACCAGGTGTGAGTAGACACGTCCACTGTCCTCTGTCTGTCCTACAGCTTTTAGTTCATGTTAGAGTTTGTTTTTAAAAATGCATTTTCATTTGGTCTCCTGTGAACAATCAGGCCTATTTTGACAAGTACGACACAGTGGAACACTACCTCCGTACTCGCACTTATCCCTCTGGACTCAGCTTTGTGGAGAAAAACACATTCAGGAGGTTCTGCAGGAAGTTTGTTATAAAAGGTTGGTACAAAACAGACAAAACACATCCTTAAATGTTTAAGCAACAGGAAGTCTTCAGTTAGACCTGACCATTCACATGTTTTTGTTTTTTTTTTCAGATGATCAGCTTCACATGGCTCACGGGGATCGAGTGCGTTTGGTTCTGAGGAGTCGAGAGCAGGTGGAGGTCGCTCTCAACGACTATCACAACGAGCTGAACCACCTGGACGCCAGCAAATGTCTGCGGCTGCTCAACGAAAGGTGAGCGAGTCTGAGTGGTGTTTATGCTACAGAGAAAATAATAATAAAATTCAATTTATTGCACTCACTTTGAACTATAAACTTTAAAAAAACATAGTTAAAGGTCTAAGGTCCAAGTGCCAGGATCTGCTCCGGACTAGACTTGGAACAGGTCTAATGTAAAGTCAGGTCCAGACGGATGCTGTTTGGCTCTCAGCTGTATTCTTCCACAGATTCTTCTGGAAAACCATGAGGCCTGATGTGATCCAGTGGATCAGTGGCTGCTCCATGTGCAGCAGGAAGAACAAGAAGAAATTGGAAACCTCACTGAGGTCAGACGCTGCAGGATCAGCGGTACTGCTGAGGTAAAGTACAAATACGAGTATTTAGAATGACTTAGATTCACTTCAGTCTGAACAATTTATATCGACATTCTGTTTGTTGACAGTGGGAGAGAAGATGATGAAGATGACGATGGTGAGATTGACGAAGGTAAAGGAAGAGAAGATGATGAAGAGAGGCAGCGACTGCTGGAGTTCACAGATTCACAGGTAGATTTTTAGGTTTTAATCTTTCACTCATGTCCACAATTTCAGAAGTTTGTCCTTCACTGATCAGGCTCTATATTTCAGTTTTTTTATACCTCCATTGTTCAAAAAGAGTTCTAACAAGTCTGCTGTTCTCTTTTTATAGTCATCTGGAAATTTCAGTTTCTTAATGAATTTGAAGGAATCTTAAAATTTCCAAATGTCATAAATGTCCTTTTCTTCTTCTCTAAGGATAAATCTGCTCATCCTGTCAATACCCTCAGCTTCAAGCCAGAAATCACTGTTGTCCTCCAGGATAAAAGCAGGGTCCAGGATCAACCTCAGGCACGGACTCAATCTGATGACCAGGAAGTGACATTTGACCCTCAGGCCACAGTCTCAACACACACTCTGTCTGAGGTTCCTGCGCCACCGGTGAGTCAGAAGAAACGCTCCAGTTCTCAGCTCCATGTTCACAGCAGCGCTTCATGTCCAGCAAAGAGGAGCAAAGAGCTGGACGTCAGCTCCACCTCCTTCAGCAGTGGCCAGGAGCCTGTGGTGGCTGCGAGCACCAAACCCTGGCCCGTCTTCACCATCGCCAGCTCAGCTACGGTGCAAACGGCCACAGCCCCTACAGACTCAAACAGGTATTGCAGCCAAAGCCTACAGGCAGAAGTGCAGCTGCAACTCGTACTGTATATGCTGCAACGATAAAAACAACAGATTTCATGTTTCTGCATTAAGACTTGCATGTTGCTAGGCTACTCAGAGTGTTCCCATTCATGGTTTGTTTTGATCAAGTCAAGTGACTTCTGGGCCTGCACAGCCTCAATTTGAATAGGCCGTCTCTCGATCTCTTGTCTTAGTATTTTCTTATTGCTTTACTGTGTGTGAGCAGCTCAGCGTTACATCAGAAACCCAGCAAGCCTCTGGCTCGGACCATCATCCAACAGTGCAGTCAGGCCAAGGTAAAGGTCAAACCACCTCTGGACGGAGCTGAGGCTCAATGGGCAGAGGTAAAGACCTTCCCTTTAAACTAAACACAAGCTTTAGCCTAATGCTAACGTGCTGTGACTGGTTCTGACTGAGTTTCCTGCTCCAGATTCAGCAGGGAATGGTGGTGTATGTTTGTTTTTACCACGGAGCAACTGAAGATGTCACACATGAAATGGGTACGAGTCTCTGTGTTTATTCTCACTTTCATTCACACTCTACAGTTGATTGTCATATAAGCATGCGTGGTAGTGGAAAAAAAGATGAATCTCAAGGTTATATTTCAACACTTTATGTATACAGTTTCGTAGGCATGTTAGCTAAGAAAGCTGAATCTGAAACAGGCTACAGTTTAGCACTAATCGTTCTTATTTGCAACAGGAGTCTTGCTATACATTTTCAGTTTTAAAAGTTACCATACAATCTTACACTCCATCAGAATCCTGCATGAAAAAGCTTTCTATAATATAAAAAATTGCATGAAAAAGCTTTCTATAATATAAAAATTTGATCAAGTTTTAAATTCCTTCCTTGTCCTGCTTGTTGTTTTTTTGTCACAGCCAACACTCTGATGTCGACAAAATTTTTCCGAAAAACTGCCCGGCACTCTGTGTCTGTCCTCGACCTTCCTGGGAGCGTTTTATTCATCCCCCAGGAATCCCTGCAGGGGGTGCTGTCGTCCGGCAGGAGAATGCAGTACCAGGGCGGCTGTGAGAAGTGGCAGGGAGCTCAGCTCTTCTCCAGCCTGGTGCTCGCCTGCAGGGAGCTCATGCACAGATCAACCAAGTGCACGGACGCAGGCGTGTCCGTGGAGCAGGGCGTGTACGGGCAGAAACAGGAGATCGTCCTGAACTCTGCAGAGCCGCTCACTCACCTGCTGGAGTTCTGAGGTACAGACGTGTACCAATAATATTCCAAAGTCATACTTGACCTTCTTCTGTTCTCTATTGCTGCAGCTGGAAAATTAAACATTACAGAAACTAAAATGTATTTTATTAAAAAAAAAGTTGAATGGACACTGTTTTGCAGAGTTTTTTTTTAGAAAATATTACAGGTGTCTTTTTGTCTTTTCATTAGTCAGTTATTTATTTTGGTCAAACATCTCTGTCCATCTAGATCACACACTCTGCCTGGAAGTCTTTTAAAACCATTTGTGACCTCAAGTGGACAGATGTAACTTTAAGTGAAGGCAGTTTAACTGCACTTAATGAGTTACTCACTGTCAGTCAGTAACTGAGAGTTACTGACTGACAGTTAGCCCTTGTGTAATGTTCATATTGTTGTTACTCAGCCCGTGTTTGTGGGGCTGATGGACCCGTTGCATTTTGTGGCTTTTGATGCCTCACAATCAACACTTTTATGTTAAAATCCTGAACAGATGTGTACCTTATCCCAATTACAAGCAGTATAAACAATATATATGATTAATATTTGCCCTTTACCTTTGTTAGGTCACATTTATATGTTATAGGTATGTTCTGTGTACTTACACTCTGTCCTCCTCCTGTCTAGGCCTGCTGTGTTTGTGTGTGTGTGTAGGTGTGTGTGTGTGTGTGAGTGTGTGTGTGTGTTTGCTACACAGAACATCAATTTCCACACTTCTATTAGCCCCGGGTCCAGTGGACCCGAACATCTTATATGTAATAGAAATGTGTAGGGGGAGTGTATGGTGTGTGGTCATTAAATATGTATTCTGATATATGTTCTTCACAGAAAATGAGCCAAAGCCAGTTAGTCTCAGTTTGAAACATTAAATCATTATATCATTTTTCTTTTATTAAGAAGTGAAAATGGGTCCCACAGAGCCGAACACCACACAAGGGTTAATGATAGTTACTGACAGTAAAATCTGTGGTCAGAAAATGCTTGTTCTGAACTGAAGACCAGCGTCAGCAGGGGACGCCAACAGCACGGCCACCTTTTAATCAGACACTGGCCAACATCAAATCACAAAAAAGTACTTGCCGTTTCTCTTCTCTGCTCGGAGCAGCTCAGAAGTCCATCAGATGTGTGTACGGTCCGTTGGTGTCCAGCTTCAGCACCTGTCTGTTTCCGTATGTCCCGTGTTTCACCATGACTTTGTCCCCGTTCACTGCAGCGATCTCCTCACACAGGGAAACGAAGGTGCTGTACAGCCGTAGACCGTCCTCTTTTCCAATGTTGTTGTGGTACTGCATGCCTCGACTTTTGGCCTTTCCACCCAGCGTTGCCTGAGGGACAATGAGAATGCTGCCGGGAAGGTCCAACACCGACACCATCTTCCCGGAACTGGACTCACACAGCCTGATATTCAGCAGAGTGGACACTGCAGATGGAAGAAGAAGAGGAGACGGACAATGGAAGCTCATTAAACAATGATGGGAGGGATGAGATCAAGTCAAGATCTGGAACCAAATGACTTTGAACAATACAGGCAAGTGTGTTTGAATCCTGCCCTGGTGTGTTAGGCAAATATGAGGAATGTGTGTGTGCTGAAATGACAGTCAAATGTCTGCAGGAGTAAAGATCTGGTGAAATGTTTAAGATATTTAATATAAGAGAAATGTTTCTTTCTTTGTAGAAGACTTCAACGGCATATTTTACAAACCAGACAAGTTTATACGTATATAAACTTTCCCCGTCAAATTAATCTTGAATCTTGATTTCTGAGATCACTGACCCATCTTAGGCAGAATATCATCTGTGGCTCCTCTGAAGAAACAGATGTAAATCACCATTCCTCTTTCGATCTGAAACAATGGAAAAATGTCAACACCAGCTGGTATAAAGTTTATCTGCTGTGGAATACTACACTTTAGAACCTAGATTCTGGAGTTCTGCAGAGCTGGAGCAACCACAGCTTCCTTAGAAGTGTCTTCTCTGACTGTGACCTACACAGATACTTTCTTATTGTCAGTTGTACTAGTAATAACCAAACGCATTTGCTGTAATGGCCATTTCTCATTAACAGATAAAACACAGTAGATAAAACACTGATCTTTGAGGGTGAACTGTATTATTCCTACATTCTACATTTGTGCTTCATAAACTTCTCATGTCTGTCTCTCCCATTACCAACATTGAAAAGTAAATAGTAGTATTTGAATATACATCGTACATCTGTTTGATCACCTACAAGATCTAAAAGGAACAGCAGCTTTATTTGTATTCTTCTCTTTTTCAGAGTTCCAGCTCGGATCAACGAACCCTATCCTTTTTGCATCTTTACTATTTGCCAAAGCGGTTAAAAACTGCTCCACTAGAGGTCCTTTTTGCATCTTTACTATTTGCCAAGGCGGTTAAAAACTGCTCCACTCGAGGTTTCCCAAGTACCGCCAGCAGTATGTGTATTTAGTTTTGAGGACCCAGTGGATCCGACTTTAGGATACAAATATAAAATTGGCAGATAATCGCACTCGTCACACAAGAAGAGCAGTAACATGTTTCTTGGACAGAGAATGGACAACTCACCTGAACATACTCGGCCTCTGATTCGTCGTCGGCCGGTTTCACCTGCAGTGTGGCCTGCAGACACTGCTGCAGCAATGTCCGAGCCAGAGGAGCAGCAGGAGGATTCCCTTTATCCGCCATGATCCGTTTATTGTGTCTTCTGTTTACGTCTAATCACTGTTACAATGCGTTTAAACCTGAAGGTGTTTTAAAAAAAGTGAATTACCATAAAACCCGAAAAGAAACGTTAATGAACAACTTCAAACTTCAGGCACTTCCGCAATTACGACTTTTCTAACGATTTACGACAGATGGTTCAGCGCAAACTGTAAGATACTGTCCTCTATTGGCTGGGAACAGAACTTCAGGTAATACCTTTCGTCCATCCAACCATTTTCATCCGCTTATCCGTTACCGGGTCGTGGGGACTGCAGTCTCCATTTCTGACTATTGACTATTCTAGTCACTATTGTTAATGAAGATTGAAGTGTTTTATACGACATAGATACGTAGATCTGAGATTTTATCCGTAGGTGTTGCTGAAATATACATTTTGCATATGAATTCTATTTGTTTTAATTGTTTATTATTTAATAGATATTTAAGGGCTCAAATTTACCGGTTCGAAAATACATAGAACATAGTACACCAAATTTGAAAGTTCTTTACACAACATGCATAAAATGGAATATAATGAAAACCAATAAATAACAATGGAATTAGAAATGAAATCTGTAAACAGTATAGTCAAAATGTTATTTTACTCACAAATTCCCCGTTACAAAAGTAAATGAAATGGTTCACAATTCTGTTTTTATTGTTAAATATGCACACCCTTAATAAAAGTTTAGGAGGCAGCTCTAAATACAATGTCAAATTCTTTAGAGGGCTGCAGTGTCAGAATGCTGCCTTTGCTGAAGCTGTCACACGAGGTGCATTCAGGTACCATCAGAAACTTGAAATCTGACAATTAGGGCTGCTGTTTGGTTCAGGACAAATGGTTAAAAAATAGCACTTTTCTTTTTATCCTTTTTTCCTCTCTACCCTCCAATTTCCAGACCCCCATAGCGCCCCCTGGGAGTCCCCACTCTGAAAACCACTGCTCTAAACCATCTCCTCTACATTTCACTGCAGTGTGCACAAAGAAATGGAATAGAATGCAGCACATACCTGAACATTATTTCCGCTTCGAATATATTCTCATGTCTATATTAAACTTGTAAACTTGTATCTTATATTAAATCAAGTGATTAAATGAACTTAAATTGAAAACCGCATGCTGGCAGCTAGAGCTAGCTAACTACCTGGTAAGTAATGTCTGTAAGCTGATGACACAATTTCAGACAATAACGCAAGATGCACAAGTGAATAAGGCTGTTACTTCAACTTCGGCCAATAAAAGCCCAGCCTCTGAGTTAACATTAGCTGCCTTTTACTATTAACAGTGCTGCAACCTGAGCTTGAGGCTATAATATTGACATGTTGGTGAAATGTCCCCTGCAGTTTATACTTCTACTGAAGGTTTTTGTTGTGAAGATAGCGCCCTCTTTTGCACTCTTTTCTTTATGACTGAAGCTCTGAACCAGTTTGAGTAGGGATCTGGTTCTGACACTGGTTCTGGCATTTCTTCCTTGTGTGCTGTCCTGAACCAAGGGTTGCCTTGCTGCCAAGCATTTGGGATTTTTTTTGGCTTCTTTACCATTGTCAAAAAAGATTCGTCCAGATCATCAATCTGTGTGTGCTCTGGATCTGGCTGTGGTTCTATCTCTATTTCTTGTTCTGGTTCTTGTTGTGTCTCTGGCTCTGATTCCTGCTCTGTGTTTTCATCAGATTCGATTTTGAAGACCCATGCTTTACCGTTCTTTCTCTTTCTTTGTCTTGTGTTGTTGTCTTCAGTAACTTTGGCAAGCGTCCTTGTTCTTCTTTGCTCAGGTGCCAATGGCTTGCACAAGTCTGGCTCATCTAGGTACTCCTGCTGGTCAAAGGCCTCATCCACTTCTTTGGGCTCAACTCTTCTCCAACGGTCTCTAACTGGTGGTGGTTTTTTCACAACCATCGTTCTGAGAATTTTTTCAAACTCCTTCAACTGGTATGGGTCCTGGTTGAAGTAACTTGAAGGTTTCCATTCCTCCTCGAAGAGACGGTCGAAACGGAGGTTCTTGTCCATGATGAGATTTCTAAGACCTAACTTGTGTTGTTGGTATATGTTTAAGGCAGATGGCATTTGTAATATTGCACTGCTGCTTCACTCTGATTTACTCTTCCTTATGGACTCTTGTGTTACCTGTTATCTCCATTTTCTTTTGTTCCCTCAGTCTGATACCTGTTATCTCCATTTTCTTTTGTTCTCTCAGTTACATTTAGGCCACTGTTTTACTGCCCCCTGGATTCTTCTTCTTTATGGATGATGGTTCCTCCCTGATTTTTTTATATTGCATGGACAACAATTATCGTTCTCATCAACTAGTTCTGCCTTGACATCCATAGTGTTGCATCTCTGCTTCTTTACTTTCGTATCCATAAAGCGATACAGATATCATTATCAACCTAAGACGAGTCTTCATACAGTCCTGTGAGTTTCTGTTGTTTCATGATATCTCACAGGCATTTGTATTGCAATGCTGATACATCAAAGCCACTATGAAATATTTAATGACATCAGTGACTGTCATGTCAAAGTTGTCTGAGGGTTTTAGTTCCACCTTCAATAGTTTTCCTTTGTTAATCGTACCAAACCCCATTGGAGAAGTTACCAACTTTTGGTCATAACTCACAGTTGACTCTCTGCTGCCTCCATCATTTCAAATATGTTATACTTCATTACATGGATTTTAAAAATGTTTCATCCAGATTGTCCTCAGTAACACAATCTCACCAAATAAGCAGCAGCTTCTGTGTCTGTGAACCAAAATGCACATTTTCTTGTGGATGGGGGTGTGGTGGGTGGGAGATTTACAAACTTTGATGAACCAAAAATGGACACCTTCAAGAAAGTGTTAAAAAAGTGAAAAAAATTATAAAATAAAAAATAAGTACCAAAGTATAAACTCTTTTAGTTACTCATTTTTTTTATTGCCTAAAAGCTGGCAATAAAAAAAAGACTGTTGTGGGCAAACTATTGACTAGGTGAGCCACACTTGTCCTAAAATTGAACAGGAGGGCCGGGTCAGGAGATAGATGATGTTATCTACCAGATAGATGAATCGTTGGTGTGAATTAAAATAAATAATAAAAGTCATAATAAGCAGGGAAAAGGCAGAAGTATAATGATAATATAAATAAATTATATAATTTGGAAAAGTTTGAAGGCCTGATTAAAAAGCTGAATGGGCCGGATCCGGCCCCCAGGCCTTAGTTTGCCCATGTCTGTAATACAGAGACAAATAAACCCTTACCAACACATTGGATAATTTTAATGGGAGATTCAAGTATTTTACATATGTGGATGTTTATAAAATAATACTAATACATTCAAATATTTGCTAAAGTTGAGCTTAGAAGATTAGCTAAGAAGCTACGCTAAGTCTTGGCTGTAACTATTTGAGAAGAAGAGAGTTTTGTAAAGCAGCTACTTCTTTTTTTTTGGCTACACTTTCTTCCCAAACTTTTTTTTTTTTAAGACTCTAGATTGGTGGACATCTCACTCTGTTGGTGGTATCCCTCCTCCCTCTTCTTCTCTTGTTAAGAAATGTGGCTTTCATCCTGGAGCTTTCTTGGACTTTTTCATCCATTATGCAGGGTTTGTCCTGCTCCCACTGGCATCTGGATTGTTCTACAATAGCTGGAGAGGAACAAGTCTTTGGTGACGAGGTAGTCTTTCCTGTTGAGTTTACAGATGCAGTAGGTTCTGGCCGTGCAGGTGACGCCCTTTTCTGCATTGTTTTCTTCTGTACTTTATTTTTGAACCTGTTTACGTAGGATTCTGTCTCTTGCTCATCGTTGTTTGCTGCCCTGGACCAAGGGTTGCCTTCCCGCCAAGGGTTTAGTCCTTTTTTAGGCTTCTCTATCAGAGAATCATCCAGGCGATCCTGCTGCAGTCGTAGTACCGTCTGATCTTCCAGTTTCTCTGCCTTCAAAGGTACAGATTGACAGGTCTTTGGTGAAACTGCAAACATGTCAGTCTTGTCCAGCGTCTTTGTAGACTGTACAAATGTGAAAGGTTCTGGTCTTGGAGGTGACACTCTCTTTTGCATTCTTTTCTTCTGTACTTTACTTTTATATAGCTCTGGCTCTGGCTCTGGCTCATTCTCTTTGTTTCCTAGGTTTTTGGGTTTCTCAGTTGAAGAAAAGCATTTTTGATCCAGGCCGTTCTGCTGCAGTAATATGAAGGTTTGGACCTCAGGTGTCTCTGCCTTCACAAGAGCTGGAGACTGCCAACTGTCCTCCGTTGACTCCACTGATTGAACTCTTGCTAGAGGCTCTAGTTTTGGAGGTGACATCCTCTTCTGCATTCTTTTTTTCTGCCCTTTATCCTTGAACCTGTTTAAAGACAACCCTAAATTTTCGTCGTCGTTTTCTGCCCTGGACCAAGGGTTGCCTTCCCGCCAAGGGTTTAGTGCTTTTTTAGGCTTCTCAAACAATTTCGAGCATGTTACTTTCAGGTCATCCTTCTGGACTGACAGAACTGACTGATGCACAGATTTCCCTGTAGATTTCCAGTTCTCTGGTATTAGGACATTTCTTTTTGACGTCTCTGCACACTGCACAGGTACAGAAGGATTTGGTCTTGGAGGTGACAATGTTTTATGCGTCATTTTCCTCGTTGTTTTACCCAGAGACCTAAGTTGTTCTGATTCTTGCTGTTCTTCATCTGGTGCTCTGTACGATAGTTCCATCTCTTCCTGCTGCAGAGACAGAAAAGTCCTATCTTTAGACATCTCTACTTTTGAACATGCTTGAGCTGTGGGTGATGTAACAGTTCCCCTGTGCGAGTCTACAAATTGTTCATGTGCTTGACGTTCTACTCTTGAAAGTCGCACTCTCCTCTTCATCCTGATTTTCTGAACTCTGGCTTTGTACCAGTGAATGTAAGGGTCTGGTCCCAGATGTTGCTCGAGACCTTCTTTTCCTCTGTGTGTTGTTTTGAACCAAGGGTTGCCCTGCTGCCAACAGTTTGCTACATTGGCGGGCCTTTCCATCAATGATGAGTAGATGTCATTGTGTGACAGATGCTGTAGCTCTAAATGATTAAGTCCTTCTGTAAACCTTGGATCAGGAAAAAGAAACATGTTTCGCTTTTGTACTTTTTTGGGCTTCCTAAAGGAAGTGGCACATGGTTCAAGCATGTCATACTGCTGCAGTGGCTCAGGTTCTGGCTCTGTTTGTAGTTCTGGCTCTGATTCCAACTCTGCCTCTGGATCTGGCTCAGGTTCTGGCTCTGACTCTGGATCTCCCTCTGTATTTTCTTCTGGTTCCATTTTGAAGACCAAAGCTTTGCCTTTTCTTTTTTTTCGTCTTGTGTTAGGCTCTTGGAAAACCTTTCCCAATGACGGGGCACTGGTTTGCTCCAGCTGCGTTGATCTGCACAATTCTGGGTCATCGGTATCATCCAGGTAATCCTGCTGATTCAAGGCTACATCTAGGTCTTTGTGCTCAGTCCTTCTCCAGCACCTCTTGACTGGTGGAGGTTTTTTCACAACCATGGTTCTTAGGATTTTTTCAAACTCTGTTAACTGGTACGGATCATCGCTGAAGTAAGTAGACGGTTTCCACTTTTCCTCGAACAGAGGGTCAAAACTGAAGTTTTTTTCCATGCTAATATCTGCTACTAGGGTTAGAAATGTAACCACGGTGAATTTGTAAATTTAAAGAACCAATATAGATGAAAATGTTTAATAGTAGCTTTTGTCTACTTGGAAAATATTAACTCACATCCATCCATTTGAAGAAAAGAAGATGGTGATGCTTCATTTGCGATACAGTTACTTTATTCACATTTAAGCCACATGACATTATAAAACTCAAAACCTTTGTGAAGACATAAAAGCCACAGTAGAGTTTTGGTTCACACGAGAGGCTTTGATGTCTTTATGACTTTAACTAAAATAATACCAGTAGAGGAGTGAGCATCCAACTAAAACTCACCAGCATCCATCCAATGAAATAGAAATACCTTCCAGCCAGGCAATTGTAAAATAGATACGTTAAATGCAGCCTGAAACCTGATATAGATTCTATGGTATTAAAGTGTTGTGTTCTTCTGCTCTGTTTCATAATCAGACTGTCATAGTGAAAAAATAACTTTATTAAGTGTATATTGTTTGATATAATTTTTGCAGAAGAATCAGCTGTGTTTGTTTGTGTATATACTGTCATTGGCTCACTAGTTTTTAAAGAAGCTTTCTCTAAACCTTTGTCTGTGTGATTAATTTAGCTATTATTTAGCATTTTCTCCATGAAAACTAGTTGTTGATTTGTAAAATAACAAATCCTCTTAGACCAATGTCCGATACGTTTACATAGTAAAAACATAGTGACGTTTTCGGTCAATTGCTGGTTCCAATAATGTTTTAATGTGTTTCTATGCCTTCTGTGTTTTTCAAAAACTTTTGAGTAGTAGTTTGTAAGCTTGTTTGCGGTTGTCATCCCTTTTCTACGGGCTCAAAAACTAATAATAAAAATAGATTCTGACGCATATTTTCTTCTATTGTGTGGCGTTCTGCGGCTGTTCCCATCGAATAACTCTTATGCGCAATTTGCGCAAATGTGATGCGCACGAATCAGCTACAGCAGCACAGGAGAAGGAGGGACATGGCTCACTTCACCTACAGCAGAATGTCGCATTTATTGAGATTTTCCGCAAACAACGCTTCAATTTTAAGAACAGGCCTAGAACGAAAGGACGCAGCCGCATGCTGTTTACAATTATTTCGCTGTCACCAGGTAAGAAACGTCGAGAATGTTTTTCTGACCGGGCTAAGCTAGCTAAGCTGCTGGACTGCAAATTTACCACTGCAGACAGTTGCAACAGCAACCGGAAATCGCCTTTGGCTTCAAAGTACAACCATAAAAAATATATAGAGATTAATGGAAACTCTTAAGACTTATTTAGGATATTTAAGTCAATATAACGTACTAGGAGAATGTCATATTTTTTTCCACATTTAATTTTTAATGTATTTATTCAGAAGCATATATTTGTTATTATTGTATTTATTCAGAAGCATATATTTGTTATAATTATTTTTTTTTAGTGTATTATAAAGAAGCGGACGTAGTTTGTACGTGTTCGTACTTGACGGCGCACAGAATTCATATTGAGAGTCGTCTGGGACATTAAAAATGCAACGAGTCAACTTTTTTAGTCTTAAAATGTTTTGGTCAACCCTAGACAGTTGTCCTCTTTACCACATGGCTCTTTGTCATTATTTCATTTTGTTTTAATTTCTGTTGCTTTGTTGCAGCGATCAGTGGACAACAAGACTTTACAGGAGAGACAGAAGCAGCAGATGGCCAGAGGTCTACCAAAACTGAAGTCCATTCCAGGAGTTAAAGAGGTCATTGTTGTAGCTTCAGGGAAAGGAGGTGTAGGCAAGTCCACCACTGCAGGCAAGGCATCAAATATTACACTGTTTATCCTTGTGTATTTTTATTCTCTTAACTATTGCTTTAAATAATTATTAAATCCACTTTCAGCATCATCACTTGTCAAGATTTGGTGCTAATTTGTTGATTATTGTCCTGTAGTAAACCTGGCTCTGGGATTAATGGCCAATGACACGGTAAGAATCTATCATTATTGACTAAGGATTGGTTGTAATGTCATTGATTTTATTTTAATAAAGCTTAATGTTAGGAATAATAATCACAATAATACCAATCCAGTAATTTAAATATATTGCTTTTTTATCTCAGTCAAAGTCTGTGGGTCTGTTGGATGCCGACATCTATGGACCATCAATTCCCAAACTAATGAATCTGAAAGGAAACCCTGAGCTCACTGACAGTACGGAACACACTCACTGTTTTTTATTACATACTGTATAGTATTAAGAGGTGAATGACAGATTTTAAGAGACTCTGAATGCCTCTCTTTTAGACAATCTGATGATCCCGCTCACTAACTACGGAATTCCATGGTGAGTCTTTCCACATGGAAGACAAGTTTTAGGTTGGTTGGTTTCTTTGTCAAAACTGTTGACATAAAAGGAAAGATGTTTCATATCTACTAATTTTCTTACAAAAACGTTCTGAAATAAAATAACTTGAAAGATAGACCTTGACCTATTTTATGTTTACATTCTACTTGGTCATGATCCAACTACTGTTCTTCTGTGGGCCTGTTGACACCTTTCATGAACTGTCTCCGTCTCTCAGCATGTCCATGGGTTTTCTGGTAGAGGACTCGGCTCCGATCGTGTGGCGAGGACTTATGGTGATGTCAGCGATGGAGAAACTGCTCAAACAGGTGAAACAGATCTCTGCCCAATGTTTTTGGTCAATTGATCAAAACAAAATGAAATCCTTTGGATGAAAGAAGGAAACAGGACATGCCTTTGTACTGTATATCATCTGCTCAACGACATGTTGTATTTGTGTTTTGGCATCAGCTGAGGCCACTGAGAAAGTTCTGTTTGACATAAAAGGGTGAAACTTTAAAAATTAAATTTATAATGATCTACAGTGTCAAAAATATGACCTACATTGTCTATATCTGTTTGTTTGCAGGTAGACTGGGGTTCCGTGGACTATCTAGTTGTGGACATGCCTCCAGGGACAGGAGACGTCCAGTTGTCCATCACCCAGAACGTCCCAGTTGCAGGTCAGGGAAAAATAGTAGCTCCACATACTTTATTGTCAAAAAAGCTCAGGTCAGACTTTTTTTTCCCCTCATGTTTTGTGTACCTCTGTGTATGTGCCTTTTCCAGGTGCTGTTATTGTCTCAACACCGCAGGACATCGCTCTGTTGGACGCTCGCAGGGGAGCAGAGATGTTCAAAAAAGTCAACGTGCCGGTACAGTGTCCTAATATTTCCTTTCCTTTTCACATCTCTCCCACAGGAGGTCAACTTTTCTCTTCCTTTATCTCCTGTGTTGCTGATGTTCCTGCAGGTTCTCGGTCTGGTGCAAAACATGAGCGTCTTCCAGTGTCCCAACTGTAACCATCAGACACACATCTTTGGCTCTGATGGAGCACGGCAGCTAGCTCACACTCTGGGAGTCGAGGTTTTAGGTGACACACCCAGTCGACCTGACTTCAAATTTCCTTCAAATGTCTTGACATTAGTTTCTTAGTGGTTGTATGTAACTTTTTTGTAATCCTGAATTTTTTTTTTTCATTCATCCTCATACAGGTGATATTCCTCTGCACCTGAATATCAGAGAGACATCTGACAGAGGACAGCCTGTGGTCGTCTCATGTCCAGATAGTCCAGAGGTCTGGAACATGAATTTAATAAACAGAATTTTTATACTATCCAGGTGGTCCTTGGTTTACGACACCCTTAACCTACGGTTTTGTGTTTACATCGCCAGTGTTTTTGTTTTGTGTGTGTTTTAGGCAGAGGCTTACAGGAAGTTGGCCTCCTCTGTTGTCCGCAGACTACAGGAAGTGAACACTTGATGGACAGATGTGAAGTCACCTGACTTATTTGTTTTTATGATTTTTACTGAGGAAATGTTAAATATATATCACAATTCAATAAAACTGACATATCAAACTTCTATGCTCTTGATCTTAATGGATGTTGACATGTTCAGTCTTTGTTCAGTTCATGAGTAAAAATGTTAATTAAAATGTCCGTAAGTTTTTTACTCTGATGAAAAAGGATAAAAACACAACATGTAAATTACATAGAACAGCAAACACGCCGAGAGACTATTCACTAGATAATATTCACTAAAATGTTGTTAAATGGTACCTGTAGTTCTGTCACTGGACAGCAGAGGGCGCTCATTGCTTACGCAGTCATCACAACGTTAGCTACTCGATATAACACAAGATACACGAGAATACGCGACAAAACTTTATCTTATTTTTTCATTGTGTGTTCATTGTGTTCTGTTTTTGCAGTTCACTGTTGAACAAAGTTTCAGATCCGTTTAAAAAATGTAACTTCTACATCTTAGCTATCCTAAAAAAAGATTTTGTTTTTACATAAGTGACGCATATTTTTGCATTGTTATTGTGTGTGTGTGTTTTTAGCATGTTTTTTAAAGGTTTTTCCACATTTCTCTGAACTTTCTTTAAACTGTGTCCTTGACACTTAAAGTCACATATTTTATCGATGGGCCTTGGTGAAGCAGAGTGAATGGTGCATGAAACAAAACACATTTAAAATCACTACACACACACAAACACACACACTCCTCCTTGACCTCAGCCCCCTGTGCCTCAGCTTCTCCTGTTGCCATGACAACATAGCTGTCAGTTTGTGGTTGGATAAACAACAGCAGCTGGTTTCAATTATGCTGAGTCACTGTGTGTGTGTGTTGGAGCAGCACCCCCACACAGCTCCACTCAACTGTCTGATTATCTGGGGGGTGTAGAAAGTATAAACTCTGCTTGTCTTCTCCTCCCCTGCATATTCT